AGTCTTTACTTACTTAGTACTTACTTAGTTGGCCATTACAGACGTGTGTCGTCCTTGGCCGCGTCGAGTAGCCTCCGCCAGTCAGCCCGATTAGTTGCCTTCTGACGCCAGTTGGTAGTACCGAGCGCCCCCAAATCGTTGGTCACCTGGTCCTTCCACCGAAGATGCGGACGTCCTCTACCGCGTTTTCCACCTGCGGGTACCGAATCAAATACCTTTCTAGCTGGAGCACTTTCTTCCATTCGCACGACATGACCAAGCCAGCGTAGCCGCTGAATTTTTATGCGCTTAACTATGTCAATGTCGCGGTATAGCTCATACAGCTCATCGTTCCATCTAATTCGATACTCGTCGCCAACGCGTAAGGGACCATAGATCTTTCGAAGAATTTTTCTCTCGAATGCTCCTAACGCCTTCTCATCACTGTTGGTAATTGTCCAAGCTTCTGCACCATACAGCAGGACAGGCATGATAAGGGATTTGTAGAGCGTGATTTTTGTTTGTCGAGAGAGGGCTTTATTTCTCAATTGCTTACTTAGCCCGAAGTAACATTTGTTGGCAAGAGTAATTCTTCGTTGAATCTCTAGGCTGACGTCATTTTTGGTGTTTAAGCTGGTTCCTAAATAAACAAAGTCTTTCACAACTTCGAACTTATAATTGTCAACAGTGACGTAGGTCCCAAGACGCTCAGGAGATTTGTTTGTTGACAGAAAGTACTTTGTTTTGTCCTCATTTACCACAAGACCCATTTGCTTTGCTTGTTTTTCTAAGTTGGAAAATGCCATCTTTACAATGTTTTAATGTTCAGGTTAAAAGTGGAACAGAAAAATTAAATTAGAAATAAGATTAGTTGTCACTTAGTGCGAGAAGCAACCATGTACGCAGCAGTTGAACAAAGGTTAATTTAGGATTATATATACGACCAGTCTCAGAAGTAAATTTTATGTAACATTATTCATGTGTTTACAGAAGGCGCTCTTCGATCGTAAAAATAACGACATGTTAACATCGGCTAAATTATGCCAGTTGCTCTGTGAGTTGCTCAAACCTGCTTCCATACATCAGATTTGAACTCCAATGACTACTACCTGGTCACAAACCTCGAAAGGCAACAACTTTGTGAAAAAGATTCGGTTCAAATATAGAATTGAGCGAGAGAACATATCTATTTTGAATGTCCTAGCAAATGGTTCTATAAGAGAAGTTATATATTCATCTTAATAATTTAACGAAAAGGTAGAATGGAAAGTATTATAGTTTTATTAGAATAAAAGGAAAATGTTGATAAATAAAACTAAAATATTGCTTTTACCAAAGAATTTTTCAAGCTGGCTGCTATATACTAACTTCCTCTATTCAGGGTTTAGTTATGTACGTTAAAACAGCTCTTATAAATAATTAGTTGTTATATATATGCACATAAAAGTATATTGACAGTGAATTAAATAAGTTTCCATAGTGGATTATAATACTAAAGCTTGTCCTTTATTAAACTTAGCACCAATTCTATAAAAAATGATTTTGTGCAGCTTCTTCTATCTATGTTATATTACAAACAGATAAAATATTTTCGAATCCCCGCTTATTTATAAACAAATATTACTTTTTCTATATTGAACTAACACAAAATAGATTAGCGAGCTATATATTAGTTCATATTTTCTACCACTACGAATAGACGTGAATACAGTGGTTGAGTGGCAAATACCCACCTCACATAATTAACAATTATTTACCCTTTTAATAAACATAGAAGTATAGAATTCTAAAACTTTTTGTATTTCAATGAGAAAATGAGATAAACTATTGAAGTCGGACGACGAAAAAATTATTAAAAATAATTTTGATATTAAAAATAGCTGATTAGTTATAGAATTTCATTCAAAAACACAGTTGACGTTGGGATATAAATATTCGCACACTCTATATTAAATTTTTTTAATCATATGTTGTATAATGATATCGTGTTGAATATATAAGTTTTGTGTTATTTTTATGCCAGCCAACCAACTATAGTACTAGTAATAATAAAATGATTTTATTACTTCACTATTTAGTCACGACTCCACTAAACTAATAAGAAATTACACGTTTGTTTCCTAATTAGTTCCGCACGGGTTTTGAAAGCAAGTATAATAAATAAAAGGCTTATAAAATGTGGAACAATAGGATGAAATTAGTGGAGCAGATAGGAATAAAGATAAAAAAATGCATAGTGATGTTAAATTTAATCTATGTCCAAGTGAATAATTCTTACCACCACAACGGGATGGAGATATAATAGATATAATATATAACATAGGAGATATTGCAGATGGACGTATTTATGCGTGACAACTAACTGCTTAACCCCTAAATATTTTCTAATCTTATTTGGTAATGACAGTTCTTGCTGGACGAGGCAGATGACTTCCATCTTCAGTGGTATGAGTCGGAGACCTACTGAAAACTTTGTTCTTAGATAACAGTGATCTCGGAACAGGTACTTCTTTAGTATGGTAGAAAGGCTTTGCGGTCGAGCTAACTTATATTGTCTTCATTGTGATGAAAGTCGTTAATGCATGATACGAAAAAAGGGATCACCATATGCAACGTTAACGAAGGGCTCCAATCACTTTGCGATATTTGAGACTATTTTTTTAGCGGTATTCACAAATTGATAGAAATATAACAAACTTAAAAATTACTATAAAATTATTAGATTATAAAATTATGCTGTTTACTGTGAAATCTTTTTAAAGATATTTAAGATATTTATTTATTTGAAATCAAATTCAGCACACAAGTTATAGTGAAGTGAATCATTCAGAATTTAGGATTTGGGATTTTAATTTTTTTTCTTATGTTCAGTAAAAAAAGATTCTAATTTATTTCAAGCCTTATAGTGATCATCAGTTGGAGTATCATTCGTTTGTAAATAAAAATTCAGAACTTTGAATGAGTCTTCTACTTCATTCTTGGAAGGCTAATGAACAATTTCATCCACAGAACCGTCATCATCACTTTCCGTTGCGCTTACAAGCGGATTCACTATAATAAAATAGATGGATAAAGCTCAATAATATCGTTTGTTTCATCTGTAGGAAAGCTTGATATACAAATTTCAATGTCAAGCTCAATATAATTGTTAAGAGTAGCATTAGGCGTTATTTTATTTACTTTAAACCACGCTGCCAGTGAATGGCATTTGCACAAAGAAGTAACATGAGAAAAGAAAAATTAAACATTTGGTTTGGTAAAAGGGACTTCCCCTAACACCAAAATAGATTCATACTAAAAACAAAAATTCGACTTACAGAATGCACTTTCCACAATCCCATTGGCATGTGACAATATTTTTATTCGAGTTATAGAGAAATTCAAGTTATGGACGCATAATTGTATGTAATTTGGTATCTAAGACCCTGTTGCACTCTTTCTATTTCGAGTTATGGAAGTTTGACTATATATCTTTACCAAATCAATTGATTGTATATGGAACGCTTTAATTTGAACGATTTATTTATTATCTATTTTTTATTAAAAAAGTTTTTTTAAAGTTTATTAAAATAAATGTGTAGATTTTTCTTTTTTTGTGTAAAATCTCAAAATTAGATCAAATAAAGTAAAATTTATAATATGTACAAATTTAAAATATGTATAAATTTATATTTATAAATATGATTTGAGTACATACAAAATTCCGACTCGTTAAAATTTTTATTTTTTAATTTTTTTTTTCCATTTATATATTGGATTAAAAAATGAATCATTCATTCATTCTGTCGATTTATTTTGTACACACAATTCTATTTTCAACTGTAATGGATATTTTCTATTTTTTTTTTGTTGATCTCTTTTATATTCCAAAATAGACAAGTAAGCTTATACACATCATTAGTTTCAAGAAACGCCTACTTAAAATATTCACGCTAATGTTCACGCGTTGTACAAAGTTTTAAGTTTTAAAAACTGCAATTTCAATTATTTTTGAATTTTATCAGTTTAAAATATTAATATTCATATTGCTGAAATGCTTATAACACAAAATAACCACGGCGCTCTATAGTACGTTTCTGCGAATGTTAGATAGACAGAAAGTTTGAGTAAATAAATTTTTTGGTGTAATTATTTTATAATATCATCGGGGTTATATTTGTTGAGATTGGTTCTATAATTGACATTAACGAATTTTATAATGAAGTGAAAAATCTCAATTATATTATTATGACCGTGTGCGAGTTGGAGTAAATTGAAATTTCATAGCGATTTTTTACACTGCACTTATGTAAATATTTATTTATTTATTTATTGCACTTATTTATAGTTTTTGGTTAAAAGTTTTCAAATTTATTTATTTATTTATTAAACATCTTATAAAATTTTCACAATGGTAACACCTAATTTACCTAATTTTTATCTAATTTACCCTACTCGAAATTCTGGTAAATACCAACATTCGCTGCCATACCGACATAATTCACTTTTTCCCTCAATTTTCCATCAATTTACTCGAACTCGCACACGGCCTAAAAAGCGATTTCTTCCTTATAAAAAAAATTATGTGATCATGCCGTTATTGCAGATACTATCAATTGGGTTTTTATTATAGATCTTCCCATTTGAAACTATTTAAATTTTATTATCACATAATATGTATAATATTTTTATTAAACATTGTTTAATAAAACGTAATGTTTTATTTATATCCACTACAATAATTATACAGTTTATATATTATACTCCGTTGTCTATGTATAGTAAGTAGATCATAGCAAAATTCTATATTACCGAATTTTTTTTTTTTTTAGTTTAACTCTATTATATTGACACTGCAATTAAAACAAATGAACCCCTATGATATTATCAGAAGTTTATTATATTTATTTACTATTCCTACATAATAAATATTTCGCTTTTTAAACAATGACAAATATAGATAAATGAGTATTAGATAAAAAAGTGTTTAAACCATTTAGTCTATTTTCTTTCTTTCAGTAAAATGTTCGCATCAATTTAAATATTGAAATAGATACACACATCTACAATAAAAAAATATGCGCCGGCCAAAAATATCCTTAAAAAAGTATTTCTATTTTACATTAATCTGTGCGCTTCTATTAATATTCGGAATCAATTTGAGGTGAATAACTAATTTAATAAATAAATATATATTATATATATAAACATATAAACATTTTTTTTTCGTATAAAAGAGAGCGTGAAATATGGAAAGACAAATTATCACAAGATCAACCTTTACAACAATCATTGCAACAAATTACAAAAGCAAGCCATCAAAATGCAAAAGATTTATTGAAAGATGTTTCGGAAAATGAATTGAATAATTCTGATGGGCGTACAGAAAATCGAGGAAACCCTTACAGAACAACAACAACGCAACATGTTCAAAAACAGCATTACAAATCTGAGGCACCTAACAGTGAGCAACAACAAAACTATTTGCCTTCCAATTTAGAACCAACATCAAAGCCATGGTTCTTTAGAAACGGTGATTACTATCCTAAAACGGTACAAGCATCGAAGCTCTTCCCACATCAGGATCCATATAGCGATCGTATTGTTAATCAGTTAATGTTTGTACCACCGAACTATGAAGAATTTCGACAAAGTGGTAAACTCAAATCAATATTATTATACAATGGATTAGGTCCTTGGAATGTTAAACAGGGTTAGCATATTATATTTAACATACATATACATATATATAATATAATATTTTAATATCTCGCAAGTTATAAAAAGAAAAGAAATAAAAATTAATTTTATTTTTAGGTCGCGATGTCTTCCTGCGGTCAATGTGTCCAATTGATACTTGTGAGATAACAGCACACCGCGAACGAACTCAAACTGCTGATATGATTTTGTATAAAGATCATTACATACCCACAGGTTTGCGTAGATCGGCTAATTCTAAACAAGTTACAATGCTCTATTACCTTGAATGTCCATATCATACACAAAATGTTAAAGTTCCCGACGCAATAAATTGGACTGCAACTTATCGGTACGTAAATAAGTGTTTGCTCTAAGGTTATAATACCTCTTATAATACTTGCTTTTATAAATAAACTTTAATCCTAGTATAGTATTATTTCAAAAATTTTAAAACTATCAATAATTATTTATTATTTTTTTGTAATTATTTATTTACTACAATTATTATTATTATTATTAAAAAAAAAGGTTAGTACATTGCGACCTAAAAGATCCATTGTGCCGCTTAGTCAGTTTAGAATTTTTCTCCAAGTCCGATTTCTTTAATGAAAGCCTATCTTTACTAGTCTTTTATCCCTATGTTTTATGAAATACCCTTGTAGAAGTTTCTTCCGCTTGTGCATCAGTGCCGGACATCCTCTAGAGCACATGGTATGTGTTTTCTTTCTCTTCTCTACAGAATCTGCAGTCTAGGTTAAATTGTATTTCTAACTTTGTTAGGTGTTTATCCAATCCATAGTGACCGGTTAGAAATCCCATAATAATTCTTAAGTTATTCTTTATTTGTTCTATGCAATCCTTGAAGCGTTTTAGGTTGAAAGTTCTTAGAAGCATTTTAGGTTGTGATAGTCTTGGTAGCTTTTCCCAATAGAGTTCTCTTTCTTTTTCCTCTGCGCCGTTCATAAGAATAGATAGAATTCCTTTGCCTAAAGTGCAGAAAGATTCTGGGCCTATCATTATTGATGCCACGCCTCTTCTTACGATTTTGTCTGTCACTTTATCACTTTCAGACAAGTATGTTCAGCTTCTCAATTCACTTCCATACAAGTTTGGAAATAAATAAATCACATTTAAATAAATCACAATCTCATAGAAAACTGTTGTGTTTATGTCAAAATATAGAAAACCCTAATAATGTTTAAAATATATATTGCTCTATCAGATTTCCAAACTCAACAAGAATAGTGCACAGTGTTTAACAAATCTTTAAGTTTTTAGCAGCTTATAGCGTTAAATGTAATAAAGCGAAATAAAGATCAAAGATTGTTTTAGACCTGTTTCAGTTTTATATTCTGAAACTTTTGCTTCTAGCATAATCGATTACAGCTTAATTTTTCTTTCTACAGAGTAAATCAAGAACTGAAGCTGCAGCTAATTCCTAGTTTGTTAAATAATCTACGAATTAACGTGAAATATAATAGTGCCTCGAAGTTCAAAATAAAAACAGTTTAAAAAAGTTTCGACTTCTTTCTTTAAGGCACTGATTCCTTCTCGAAAAGTATAGTTTATAACTATATATGGCTACAACTTAAAATCTTATTACCGGATAATGAATACTAGTCCCATTAATATTTGAGGAAACTTCTGTGTAAGTCTCTAAGTTGTCTTTTAAACAGAAACCGAAGATAAAAGAATACAGACTCTTTAGTGAATATCAAGTATGGATTTTGCCTAGGGATTGTGAAAAGTTAGGATTTAAAAGTTTGGATGAAATGACTTATTCGTCAGGTGCACTATATGATGGGACATCCCGTCATTTCGCTGCTGTAAACAAAATTTTGGGACTAAAAGACTTATTCGCCTGGTACAAAATCTTATCAACTATAAAAAATATGATGTGATATGCAATCATTCTGTTACTGCAGTCAAAATTCCTTTACAGACCAAAAAGTTCATAAAAGTAAAAATATGTCTATGCATATAGAAAATTTTACACCGGTAATTAAAAATTATTTATAATAAGAAAAACATAATGCCAGTAGAGGATTTGTCCTATATTTTATTATGTTATATATATATTATGTTATATTATAACAATTTTGATTATTTTATAGAATATATATTACTACATTTACATTTTGTCAAATTCGATTACAGAAGTTTTTAGTTAATCCTTTGTTTAAAAACTTATATATAATAGGTTGATAGCTTCTCAATAATTCTTTATTTATATTTTTAATCCCCTAGCCGTGATAGTGATATAGTAGCACCTTACGAGAAGTGGCAGTATTATAACCCGAAAATTCGTCAAATAGAACAGGATCGTAATTATGCAGCGAATAAAACAAAGAAAGTTGCTTGGTTTGTATCTAATTGCGGGGCAAGGAACGGACGTCTACAGTTCGCACATGAGTTACAAAAACATATAGAAGTAAGATATAACTTATAAAGTCTAACTTTAAACTCTTAAATATATTTTTAATATAGGTTGATATATACGGTGCCTGTGGAAACTATAAGTGCTCTCGCAGCACCGCTGATAAATGTTTCGAAATACTTGATCATGAATATAAATTTTACCTCGCTTTTGAAAACTCTAATTGTAAGGACTATATAACGGAAAAGTTTTTCGTTAACGCACTTAATCGAAATATTCTGCCAATTGTTATGGGTGCAAGGCCTGAAGATTATGAAGTTAGTGCACCCTACCGTTCATATATACATGTAGATGAATTCAGTTCCGCTAAGGAGTTAGCGGAATATTTAAATATACTTGATAAAGATGATGAATTGTACAATTCATATTTTAAATGGAAAGGTACTGGTGAGTTTATAAATACATATTTTTGGTGTCGCGTTTGTGCGGCGCTGCACGATGAGGAATCATTAAAAATACCACATTGGTATTCAGATGTAAATGATTGGTGGCGCGGTGCTGGGGTGTGTACCAGCAGTTCGTGGCGTAATTTTAAGGCGCGTAAGGATGTTATTAGTGATGATTAGTGTGGAAAAAAATTGTTGATAGGACTAGTAATTAATGTAGACCTTGTTATTACAAACATAGATAAGGCTTTAGATGTGTTTTATAGTATAGATCATTTAACAATAACAAAATTACATACATTACTCAAGGGTATTGCAAAATGATTAAAATTTATAAATTTAAGAATGTTACGAATACTGTAAAAAAAATGTTTAACAGGATATATAATGGTGTAAATTGTTCCATAATAATTTTCGGTACACATAAAATGTGAAATACTTCTGCTTTCATAACATATGTCATGTGAAACACATATTGAAATATTTAATTCTAATTTAATTTTCTTTAATTTTTTTAAATTTATTAATGTGTGAATTTTTATAAATCTCAATCCTAACTGAAATCACAAAAAGTGACTAAGGTCACCTTATAATGCGATCTTTATACGAGTTCATTAATTTTCGAAAGTTTTTAAATCTTGTAATGGAATAGATAATAACGAAGCCTAAAGCTGTTAGAACTTTTTTTTAGGATGATATTTGTTATATTTCGGGTCGTACATGAATAACTGCTCTCTGCAAAGAAATCTCTTTAAATTATAGAATAATGTCTTTAATTGCAATCTGGAATTATTAAAACTAGTTTGATTGTACTATCATATCGTCTCTAGTTCTATTATTACTGAAAACAATATTATTATATACTAGGTATCATATTATTTATTAAATCGATTTTAAAAAGAACACTGTCAATGAATAAGAGGATTAATTCATTTTTATCCTCAATAATATATAGCAGATACTCAGAGGTATTTTGATAAAACTGTAACCATTTGACAATACAATCTTATTAATAGTTTTTTGATAAATGATAATGAACTTGTAGATGATACTGTAAAAATTTATTTTTTTAATTTTGTCAAAGACTTCTATAAAGTCAAAATCGAATTCGAAATATCCCCCGTTCTCATATTAGGGGTTGAAACCGTTCTAAAATATTCATATCCACTTTGTGTTATGGCGTTTTCGATTGGTAAATCTGGATTCAATCTAGATATACTCTAGATCTGTCAAATTTTGTTGCCCAAAAGCACACTTTTAGGGTAATTTAGGATTTTTCTAATTTTAGTAAATGGTATAAAGTTGAAAAATATATGTATCTTCATCATCGTTTGCAGTAAAATGTGCTATTATTTTGATTTTATATCTTTTTTCAAAACGACAACTCAATATACAAATGAAAAATTCATGTCACAGCTTAAATGATGCAGTTAAGAGTACCGTTAATAACGTCGTCGTTCCAGATGGAAATAAAAATATTCTTATTCTGCAATCATTTGTAATAATATTTTTGAGGGAAAATACTAAAAAAATTAAAGTTTATGCCTTTTGTTAATTATGGGGCAGCGTACATCAATGGAAAAGCGCGATTTGGTATTCGAGCATTTAAAAAAATGAATTTCCCAAGGTTATATAGCTGAAATGGTGAATCTAAGATCTTCAACAGTTCATAATAATGCACATAATTGAACACTTCGTATATAAAAATCGTGTAGAAAAAAGGGACGAAAAGCTCCCAATAAAATTTGGTTAGTAAACCAAATTCGAAAAAATCCAACAACAAACGCTCCAAAGTAGGCAGACTTGTCATTTTGAAACCATCCGCAGAATATTGAGAGAATCATATTTTAATGTAAGAATAGTTCGAAATAAACCTTTTGTAAATTCAAAAAATAGAGTTAAAAGATGGAGTCTGCACGAGAGCATTTGAACAAAAATCCATCATTTTGAAGAACTGTCCTTTTTGTAGACGAAGTCAAAATAAACTTATTTGGGTAAGATAGAAGATCTTACGTATGACGCAAGGTCAACTCTGAGCTGAAGGGAAAAACTTGTCATCCTGAAACCGTCCGCAGAATATTGGCAGAATCTTATTTTAATGGAAGAATAGCTCGAAATAAACCTTTTGTAAATTCAAAAAATAGAGTTAAAAGAACATTTGAACAAGAATCCATCATTTTGGAGAACTGTACTTTTTGTAAACGAAGTCAAAATAAACTTATTCGGGTAAGATGGAAGATCTTACGTACGGCGCAAAGTCAATTCTGAACTGAAACCACAAAATTAGTACTTAAAGTACTAAGTACTCAAAAATAGTTCGTAATTTGGTTAGTTTTTTTAAAATTGCATCATTTAAGTTGTGACATGAGTTTTTCATTTGTTTTTGGTTTTTGTTGTATTACTAAGGAATAGAAGAAGATATTTTGGGGTTTTGTTTTTGGAAATGAAATAAAACACTATAAACAACAACTCTGTGTCTTTCGTTTTTTTGATTTTGAAAAATATTTTGAAAAATATTTTGAAAAAAATAAAACTTTTCAAAAAAATATGGTCTGCATCAAATAAGCTGTGAGTCCCCGTATAAACAAATAAATTTTGCACATATGGAAACGAATTACCTTTTTTTATTCGGCAAAGCATATGATATAGCTATTAATTTCATGGTAATTTAGCAATTCTGGCAAAATATCTATGATATTATAAATAAATCTAGAGTGTTATACATTAATCTCGAGTGTTATACAGAAAATTTAAATTGCGGTAAAAGTGAATCTCGATTAAAAAGGTTACCCCAGATTTACCAATCGAAAACGCCATTTTAGATATAAACCACTAATTGTCACTTCAATATTCAAAATTGAATGAAACTAATAATGTAAGAGATAAAACAAACTATTATATAAGTTAAATTGCTTCTCGAATCAGCATTGCCCAAATTTCCTACAGACTAGTAGATATCACCCATTAATTGTCACCTAAGGAAGTATAAAAGGTATGCAACTAATAGAGTAAAAGATAAAGACACAAACCATACCAAGTTATTATTAAAGGGAAAAAGAGTATCTAGAACAGAGTGACTTATGGAAGACGCATTAGCTAACATAATTAAATCTTTAAGTTTGCCAGTAAAAGTGAATTTCTGTAGTAAAAGATAATGATGCTGTTTTGTTCGAGCGAAACACGCGAGTCTAGATGTAATTTATGACTAACTCTTTATTCTTTTCTTTACTTAATTCTAACATACAATGTGGTGGAAAAGTATAACACAAATTTTTCAACTTCACCATTATGTTGAGTTGCACGTATGTAGCAGATGCAACAACAAAATACACAGTGAAACTAAAATATAGTTATGTATTAGGGATATTCACTCTGTCTAGCAAAATCGTTGCAAGGTGCACGAAATGTAAGAATGCTATATTAAAATTGCAAGAGTGCGAAAACATTTGTGTTGTAGAATTGCAAAATCAAAATGAAACAGCTGTTTTTGCAGCACACCATATCCAAATGAGAAGCAACAGATGTCAAAACAGCTGTTTTATTTCTTTTTTCCTTATGTTACAAGCATATATACATGGGTTTGGGTATAGCAAGGTTACAAGTTATTGCAAGAAACTTTGGACGTGTGTTTTGCAAGCTTGCGCAATCTGTGCATTTTGTGCACCTTGCAATAAGTTTGCAAGACAAAGTGGGTACCCCTATTATTTTTACTATACATAATACCCTGATGATGACTATAGATTATAGTCGAAATATCGGTTAAAATAAAATTTTTTAAATATAAATAAAAATTTTTTAAAAAGTTTATTATTTGACTATTGATCAATTAGCCGTTATAAAAAAAAATGAAATTATTATACAAAAATAAAGTAATACATAATTTTTTTTAATATGTAATTTGTTGTTGCTCAGTGGTCCTTCTTTAGGAAATGGATTGTCTCACCCACTAATTGTCATTCAAGCAAATAAAAAAAGGAATAAAAATAATTGGGTGCTAGATAAAAATAAGCACTATTCGTGGTAAAAAGTATGTAGGATCCAATAATGAGTTTTGGACAGCGATTTCCCACAAATTTGCTAATAAGTCTTCGAATAACTTCAGTTTAGATATTTAAGTTATCATTACCTTATCTTAAAAGGTCATGAAGAAAATTTTTTTGCTTACATCGTTTTTGATATTTTTAGGAATTTATTTTTAATTATGTCTAAGTAACACTACATTAAACATCGGAAGGTTTGCACATATCATTGATTGTGTACCGAAAACTTACTGGGAACTATAAAAAATCTGTAAACATGGCTAAATATATAAATATTGAAATATAATAACATGTGAAAATAATTTATAAAAAATGTGTAAAAATGTCAAAAAATAGTTTTTATATGTAAAAAGCATAATTTTGTACTGATGACATTTCGTATATAATTTGCCATATAAAATATATATTATACATAAATTATATTGAGTGTATGTAATTAACATAAAAAAAAATTTAACCGCATTTTTATGTACAAAGTAGCAATATGAAAAATTTTATGTAAACACAACAATCGTATATGAAAATTCCTAAACAATAATTGTGTGTATTTATATTATTTTGTAAAAATTGTTTAAATTTATTTATATATGTATGTATTTATTACATTATGTAAGTTTATGTTATCAACTAATTTAATTTAATTTTAAGTAAAGCTTGTGTATGTTCTACGCTTACGCTTCATAATTACCTCCGTTTTTTGTAAGTTTGTTTATAAAATTATTATATTCTCTATAAATGTATGTATGTATGAATTTTATTTTACTGTGATATTTTGGAACACAGTGAATTTGTAATTTATGTTGTTTTTTAACACCGATTATTTGCAACAAATTAAAAACAGATCAGACTTTTGAAAAAACAAATTCAGTTTTGTTCCTTAGTGTAATTAAATCAAATGAAACAAATTAAACGCAATGCGATACAATAATAAAAAATAAACCGATTTATAAAATAATTGAGTTATTATTATTGCAGTCCACAAATCAACAAATTTAAATTGAATTTGGTAAATATAATATTTATTATGTTGAGGCTAGTTGATTCAAAGCACTTTTACTCTCTATTAACTACGAGATTTCTTCATAACCGCTCTCTACGCCTTGACTGGATTACTATTCATTATTTCATCAGACTAAGCAATAACTGACCTCAGATCTGCATACCTCCCCGAGGAGCCTGCAACCATTATGAGATTCGATAACGCGGTGTTGGTAAGCCTGTCAGTTTTCGTAAATAATTTCAGGGCTCTATCCTATATGTATTTTTTCATCGGGTCAAACTTGAAATCCCTGAGGATGTCATTCGTCCTAATGTACCATGGTACCTTGAAAAGTTTTCTCAGAGCCTGGCTTCGTGCAATTTCTAGCTAGCGAATAGTAGTGTTTGAGACCTTGCTGAACGCTACACTTCCATATGGAAGTGACTGTTGAATTATTTGGTTATATAATAGCTGCCTGTTCTTAGCATTG